CTGCCTTCTGCATCAGACCCTTGATCCAGCCGTCCAACGTTTACTATTATCATTATTATCTGGGATACCCAAATACAGGAAGTCTTTTAAAATTAAGGATATTAAATTTATTTCCTGGTGGAAAATCAAGGAATGAAAAATATCGTTTTTATTGAACATAATGTAAGGGGATTGAAGTTGGTGATAAGTACTTCTTTAAAAGTTAGTTATTTGTACCTATGACTGCGTGAATTAAAAAATTCATAAAGATTGGTTGAGTAATTAATGAGTGAAACCATAAGAAACAACCTCACTGTACAATACAATATCTTAGTAAAGATTAAAAGAGGTATTCCTTCAACACGTAAAAGTAATATTACAAAGGAATAGCGTTTATAAAGTAATAATGCTAAGAAAATACTCCCACAACTTGTTTTTAAATCTGTCTAGTTTGTCTTTTTTTTATTTTATATATCTAGTGTACAATTACCGTAGCAAAGCGAAGGTTTCGATGCCAAACAGCTACTTCATTGAGTAAAAAACTGTACGTTGGCCTTACACAGTATTTACGTTTATTAAAAACAACCATTTAAACTATCGATTTACAGATATGCGACCCTTTTTTTTTTTTTTTTTTTTTTTTTTTTTTTTTTCCGTGCGGAAATCCCCTCGGATACCACCTGTCGGTGGCATGTCGGACTCGAACCGACTAAAACCGCACGCCTTCGCCGGGTACTAATAGCCGGGGAACCAGGTATACCCTAGAAAGGAAGGCCCTGGTGCCCCGACATACCTCGGGTCATCTACAGACGAGTAGACGACCCCCGCCCCGTGTGGGAACCCCATGTTCCCTGTGCTCCCTGGAAGCGAGCGCGCTTCGCAACGCGCTCGCCGCCACCCCGGCCTGCTTCTGCTAGGGTGACAGATGGCCTCACCTGTCACCCCCAGGCCTGCGCTTACGGAGGACGAAGGTCGTTCTGCGACCTCCGGCGCCTGAGTCGCCTGCGCTGCCTGGCCCGTGCCCGGGCCTGGCGGGCCGGGAGAGTTCTAAACCTCTCCCGGTCCCGCTCCGCCGTCTCCTTCGCGAGCATAACTTGCTCGCAGAAGGAGACGGCAGAGTTCCACGCACTCTCGCTCCGCACGATAGCCGCAATCAGGCTATCGAGCGAGAGAACTCCCACTCCGATGGCCGCCACGAGGTCTCGCCTCTGCTCAACCCACGCCGGGCACTCTGCCAGCGTGTGGAGAGCCGTGTCCACGGTCTGGCCATCGCAGTGGTGGCACTCAGGCGTTGGCTCCTTGCGGATCAGACACAGGTGATCTCCGAAACATCCCTTCCCAGTGATCACCTGCGTCAATCGGTATGAGAGGGTCCCGTGACGCCTCTCGAGCCAATCCTCCATAACGGGTCTTACCGCCGCAATGACGGCGTGCCCGGCGCTCGGTTGCCCGAGTCGTTCCCTCCACTCCCCTATGATGACCTGGCGGAGTTGGGATTTCCGGTCATCGATTTCTCGAATCTCGGGGTATCGACACAACTCCTGCGCCTCCTTGCGCCACTGGTACAGTGCTGCAAGGGCTCTCGCCTCCAGGTCCCACGGTGGAGTTCCGGCCAGGAGACTCGCCGCCTCGAAGGAGATATGCGACCCTGACCCACTCCGTATAAGCAACATCTTATTTCTACCTACCTTCCGTCCTTACCTATCTTACCTTTCATCTGATTCCCAATTCTTATTCCTAAAGTTCTCGATTCATGGCAATGGGCATACCCCATTTTAGGCAAGTCGGACTAAAATATATATAATATAGGACTAAAATAGTCTCGCTGACTATGACACGTGGTTTTTTAATACGCCTATGTCGAGTTCTTCAGGAATATAGGCGCGGTATAACTTCTCTGTGTTAAAGGAGAAACAATACTGACAGGATTAATACAAACAGTCACAAATGGACCGGCTCGACCGGAGTGAAGACCTCACAGAAAACTGGTGTGTTAGGCAATTTTTTCGTTGCCTTTCAGCATGCTGTGACCGGAGCCCAACCTGCCCCCCCCCCCCCCCCCTTCAAACTAGGTATCCATGGGTGGTGATAGGTAATCCGTTCGACATTTACACCACAAAAAAATACAACGTTTGTCACTCCTGTTTCTTTTGTATACTATTTTATAACTTTAGTAGGCATTACTACTTTTAAATAAATAATATAATATTTTACCACAATCAAACAACGCCATCTAGCCATCTAGTCTAGTACTAGACAACTGAAATAAATACTTTTTTTTTCCGTAAATACATATGTACATATTATACCGCCGATTGTTACGTCTACTTATTTGTAACTCATCTTTTGTTATTTTCTATTAAAGTGTATACAATAAAGATATAAATAAGATAATAAATAAATTATACATAGAAACATCCATACCAAATCAAACATTACATGTTCATGTATACAAATGTTAGACTTACTTTATTTCACATATTTTAAAACTCGCTAAAATAAATACTATAGACACTTTTTGTTGAATCATACCTTATGAGCTTATTACACAACCAAATAAAATACACGAATTAAAAAAATTAAAAATGTATATTATGAATTAACTATTGATATAAGAATACATAGTTATTTTTTGTTTTTGTTTCAACATTTAGATTTAGTTAAATTTAGTACTGCAAATTTTGGCCATAACTTATTTATAAAGTCAATATTCTCATGATGTATGAATTGCCAAATATTCCGATAGTTAAATTTAAACGAAACTCTCAATCTACGATTACAGCTCGCACTTAATCTTTTTAATATTAGTCTGCAAATTGTAGTATCTATTTGTAATGTCATAATAACGGCGTTTTATACAATGCTTCTAACTAAACATTTACAATTATTATTTTTTTGTTAGTATTTTCTTCGGTTAATCTTCAAACTTTTCAACTACTGGAAACAATAACAAGTGTTTATATAGGTACAAAGATTTTCTTGGTTTATAATTCACCGACTTTCAAAAAGGTTCCTTCTCAGTTCGTTTTTTTGTCTACCGTAAATCTACTTAAATAATAATACCTTTTTTAGCTGATATTGTTGTATTTGAGGTTAGTCCTATTTAAATTTAAAATTTTAACTGAATATAAGAGTTCTTAAAATTAATAAATGAATAATTAGGTTATTACAATAATTACTTTAAATTTAATTAATTTACAATAATTAATATAATGTTTTTTTTTTTTTATTAATAATCTGTTACTACGAATACTTCTACTACTAAACGTATGTGTTATCTGTAATAGCTAAGTTATCTTATGTTCTATTAATACACTAGCTTTTCCCGCTGCTCCGCCTGCATGTATTTATTTGGATTAGGATTAATATGATGTTTATAAAAACACATTCGCAAAAAAAAATTGATGAAATTTTGATGAAATTCGAAAACAAATTTGATTACAAAAAAAAGGTTAAAGTGAGCCAACTTAAAAGATAGACATATGCTGTCGCGGACTTTTTTTAACTTTTAAGGTCAATAATTCTGTTATAAATGATTCTGTGAAACTTTAACTCAAAAGGAATAGTTTTCCTCCTTTTTTGCAACATTCATTGATACGTCTATGGCCTTCCTCAATGGGCTATCTAACACTGAAAGAATTTTTTAAATCGGACCAGTAGTTCTTGAGATTAACACGTTCAAACAAACAAACAAACTCTTCAGCTTTATAATATTAGTATCGATTAAAATGAAAATAAATACTGAGGAAATTAATATCTGTGCTATAAATAAATGATTGCATAGTAGAACAAAAACCTGAGAGAACGCCTGCTTAATGATAAGTTGATGGACATTGGAAGATGTAACAGCATCCTGGCCAGTCCTCTGACGGATACAGCTAATGATATTTATACCTTGTATTTTCAATATTTAAGTTAATTTTAAAATAAAAAATGGCTATGATGGAGCGACGTAGTCATCATTGTGGCTAAGCTCCGTAAATAAAGAAAAACAAAATTTTGTTCAAAAAATTGGTGTCTAAAAATGTAGTCTTTAAAAAAATAAATGTCAGTGTATTTATTTATAAATAAACTACTATAATTTTTCTAAATGTCTTAAGAGTATTATTGTGGTTATATTTTATATTTCACTTTTCTTGTTGTGGTCAGTTATTATTGAAAGTAAAATTTGAAAACAAAGTTTTTATACATTTACGACCGGTAAAATTTAACGAAAAATGTCTTCATTTCTATTTCATGTTTTATTGTGTATATTTTAATACGTATATACATATATTTTGTAAATATTAAAACTTTATACTGTTATAGGCCAGGTAATTTGTATGTAGGTCTTCCAATCCATCTGCAAAGTATTTTTTCGGCTTAATAATTAGATAGACCGTGTAGATATTCTACAATGATGTAGTTTGATATTTATAGATTCTACGAGCCATTTGACAGATTTGTATTTTTTTTTATTCATTTCAACCATAGACCATAATTATAGACACTAGGTCATAAGTGTCATTTATCACCCACATGCGATATTTTTATAAATTTATCTTATATAATAATATTATCCTTATTAGGGGACGTCCTACGCTTATCAATAATAATTCACTGGCCTCTTGGTTCAGTAGTTAGTGATACTAGCTGCTAAGCCAGAAGTTGTTGTTTTAATTCCCACTCAGGTCAAATATTTATTATTTATTATCGTTCATATACTTTCATTAACATTCATATGTCATCAATACAACGATAGTAGTGATAGCGTACATCAATAGCAGGTACTCCAGTAATCAGAAAGTGCTGCTCGATATAATGTGTACTCTCGTACTTTCACTTAATTCATTAATGTTTATAGTAGACTGCGGGCTTAGAAATAATGTTGAATTCAAAACTATTATATAAAATATAAATGCTAAGCTAGGAAATAGACACGTGAATAATAACAGATGACAGGAAATAAACACGATGTAGTTCGATTTCAAACTTAAATAAAACACAGATTTTTCTATTATTAGAAGTAGAAATAATCCTACCTTTATGTGAATTAACAGTGTAACTGATATCCTCGAACATTATATTCACGGGTGGACGCTTTGCCATACGATTCAAAGCTTTCAATGTAGATCCAGCTCGTTCCAGAGCAGCCGGCGTCCATTGGCTTTCTCGTTCCTCTTTAAACACAACCGGATTAGGGTGAGTCGAAGGGGTAGCGTGCGCTAAAGCTGATCCTACTATGGCCTTGCGGACCAACGGGATATTTTGAGCGTTTGACATCTTAATAACTCTGCAGTTATTTGATTGCCACACGAAAATAACACGCGAATAGATTATAAGCGCGCCTTGACTCAATAAAATTCAGAAACTCTTTTCAGACTAAATGTTCAATCTCACAAAAATTAAAAAAAACAGCAATTTTTTTTTAACACAGAACTTGAACTAAAATTAATTATTTCAAGATATTGTTAAATAATTTTGTAAATTGAAATCTATTCCGAATTAAAGTTCGCGATTGCTGCGCAAGCGCCGCGATACGGTCGTCGCGTGCTGTCGACAGCAAAGTCAAGTCAATACTACCAGCTTACAGTGGCTAAGACGGTCGGCTATATAGATTACAGATGCAATAAAAATCCACATATAAATATATTGATGTTACATATCTATCAATTAAGATTAATGAATTAAATAATTACTGCAGTTTTTTCTTAAGTACTTTCCTGTTAGGATTTGAAACATTTTTGTCAGTTGAATTAAATAAACATGTTCAGATTGTTAATATTTTCTTTGTTAACGGGGTGGAAGTTTTGCATGGGTGTCTTTCGCCCAGTGGGGGATGGCGACGGGGTCTGTCGGACTTTTACCGACTAAAAACTACCCAGGTGTTCCTCTCCTTGCTTATGGTCGGGGATCGAGAATCGCAATTGCATTCTTCCGCCACCCTCACCCAAGACGTGTCTCGTCACCCGTTGCGACCGTCACCCTTCGGTCGCAGTCCTCTAGAAGCGCACACGGAACACTGTGCGCTGCCTGTCGGGCCTGTATCTGTTCGGACGACAAATTCCTCAAAATCGTCGCCCGCAGGCCAATTACTAAGGTGGCAGGAGATCGACGAGTGCCCTCCGGCGCCTGGTGCGCCTTCTGCGGGTAGAGACAACTGTGCTGCGTTCTCTCTTTCGTCCTGCCGCTTCTTTTGTGGACATCACGTCATGTTGGCAAAAGGAAGCGACGGCGCTCAATACACTCTCGCTGCGGACCATGGACAAAACCAAAGTCTGACTGCCGCAATAAGATCACGACGCTGGCTGGCCCAAGCTGAGCATACCGCCAGCGTGTGAAGCGACGAGTCGTCAGGGCAGTCATCACAATGATGGCACCGTGACGTCGGCTCCCGGCCGATCCAACACAAGTACTTACCAAAGCAACCATGAAAGCACCTCTCTAGCTTCTCTCGTAACCTAAGTTGACCTCTCTTAAGTCTAATTTATCATAAATTATAGTAGTCTCTAATGTATCAGTAAAATGTATGAGGTAATTAGTATAGCGCTGTTTTAATATACTTTTTAACACGTTTTTATTAGCTTGATATGTATGTATGTATGTATGTTTAAAACGGAATCTTCGAACGTGATTTTGACTCACTTCCAAACGTCGAATAAAAATTTAAACTTTGCACACTTATCAGGGACCGATGAAAATGCAATAATTTACATAGTTTGTACTGTCCTGATTAAGTCCTGTCAGGACCTTCAGGATTAATGGCTTCTTCCATACCTAAAAATGCTGTTGTGTCTTTTGCCACGTACTAAGCCGTGTGCTTACTTGTTACTTTATGGAACGAGGTTCGTTATCGGCGTTACACGCTCTGAGCGGATGGGAGCGAGACCGAAAAATGTGTAAAAGGGGACGAAACTCTACGAATTACTCGAGGCGTTACATTTAGGGACAAAGGCAGAAAGGGGGCAAAACCGAACAGACCAAAGAGACTTTTTTCCGATACTTCAGTTGGCGTGTCGACACTCACATCTTTCATATATTCGTATATGGCAAACGTCTACCAAAAAGCGAAAGGAACTTCGTTCAGACCGGGGTCCATGACCCGTCACTACGTTTTATTTAGTCTTAATAAGATAATTATCATCATTAATGACGAAAAAAGGAAAAAATAATTATAGTTTAAAAACAAAAAAAAAAAAAACACGCTTTTGTAGACAAAACGATGAAAAACCAAACTAAAAATTAGGAAATGAATTTCTATAAGTAAAAACATTATTTTATCTTAAAAAAGCGTGGGTTTTTTTTTTCAAAATATTTTATAATTTAATAACTTTAATAAATAAATGATTTTTCTTTTTGCACTTATAGAAAATGAAATTTTCCTATTGTTTAGTTCGGCTGGCTACAAATACGTGTTTTTTTATTTATTTTTTTACTATATTTCTTATAGAAAAAGTTCGGAAATGCAAAAACAACTTTCAAAGTAAATAAATGCGAAGTAAATACTGCACGAATGGCGTAGTGGTGGAAGCGGCTCGCTGCTTACTGCTGCGCTGAGTATTGTGAAATATCCGATCCCACATTAAACAATACTTTGTGTGATCCACAAATTGTTGTTCTGAGTCTGGGTGTAGTTTGTGCCTAATCGATATATGTTTGTTAAGGAGTTGTCATTTTAAAAAGAAAATAAAGAAACAAATCAACCTCGTATAACTTAAGACAGGACATAGGACGCCTAAATTTTGATTCGTAGTATTTTGGGAAAAAACATCCAAACAAATAAAATATGAGGCACTTAGTCATGTGGAAACAACTTATAATCACTATATTTATTTAATGTAACGAATGTTAATCCAATATTGGTTTAGGTATCTCCAGTATTAACGATTGTTAACTATTCCAATAAAGCGATGATGAAGATCAAATTTAATTATTAGATAAGTGTTGGGATTATACACTATTTAAGTAATATATTGTTTCAAGTGCGTTTAACTCAAATAGTTACTTAACTTATAATAGCTTATAACCACAACAAGGTTGAAAATATTAAGAGACACAAAAAAAAACATAGTCCTACCATTCTTAATATACATAACTTACTGATCGTTCTCGTGATGATGATTTATTACATTGTATATAATTTAAGTCAGTTAAAATAACAGTCAGAACTAAAGGAATAATACTTTAGTTCTGGTGACGATATCTTTCTTTTGAAAGTTTGTGATACAGCAATTTCTTCCCAACTTGATACTATACTAAATCTTCTAGACTTATTCACACTTTTTGCTATTTAGATAATACACACAACATAATAATATTCTATCTAACTAAACTAACAACTAAGCTGTCTACAGTCAGTCGGTATCTGATGCATCCGTCCCTATAGCTTTTTCTTGTAATAATTTCCTCGCATACATCTTGCATACTCCATTATTTATACATTTATTTAATTCTAGTACTCGTAATAGCAGCGTTTACAAAAATGTATTTAATACTGATAACGATTATACCTCGAGATTGTGTAATATTATGCGATTGTAAGGATGGAAGAAATTAAAACTATTGTGTGATCAACGATCGCATTTATTCTCTAGTAAATACAATAGTGATCACTACTTTTATCTACAGATACATATTATATCCGTATTACTACACTACAGCGATCACAAATGTATTTAAGTATTTATGTCTGATATAAATTATTTATATCCATCCATATTTATATACTGACAAATATGATAAATCTTTTATGATCAACAGAATATATATCATGAATGAATAAATAATATTAATGAATGAATACCTGATTGATTAATAATATTGTAATACATTTTTATTTTTTTATTATGCACTAACGCTTGTGTAAATCGAAGGAAAAGGCAGACGTATATTAACATACAATTATCATTTTATGATATATTTCTGGCGTACATCGGGCGTAAACTTTTTGTAGTTGCAGAAATTCTTTAAAAAAAAAATAATGAAGCTAAGAGCCCAGTATGCCACGGGACCAATTTGAAAGTCTGGTTCGTCAAAATCTTTCAGGGATAGTGTTCTGCGGTAAGATCCGTTATGGAGGATTGGCTCGAGAGGCGTCACGGGACCCTCTCATACCGACTGACGCAGGTGATCACTGGGAAAGGATGTTTCGGGGATCACCTGTGTCTGATCCGCAAGGAGCCAACCCCTGAGTGCCACTACTGCGATGGCCAGACCGTGGACACGGCTCTCCACACGCTGTCAGAGTGCCCGACGTGGATTGAGCACAGGCGAGACCTCGTGGCGGCCATCGGAGTGGGAGTTCTTTCGCTCGATAGCCTGATTGCGGCTATCGTGCGGAGCGAGAGTGCGTGGAACTCTACGGAGCGGGACCGGGAGAGGTTTAGAACTCTCCCGGCCCGCCAGGCCCGGGAACGGGCCAGGTATCGCAGGCGACTCAGGCGCCGTAGGTCGCAGAACGACCTCCGTCCTCCATAAGCGCATCTGTCACTCTAGCAGAAGCAGGCCGGGGTGGCGGCAAGCGCTTTGCGAAGCGTGCTCGCTTCCAGGGAGCAGAGGGAACATGGGGTTCCCACGCGGGGGGGTCGTCTACTCGTCTGTAGATGGCCCGAGGTATGTCGGGGCACCAGGGACTTCCTTTCTAGGGTATACCTGGTTCCCCGGCTATTAGTACCCGAGACAGCGAGCGGTTTTAGTCGGTTCGAGTCCGATATGCTACCGGTGGTATCCGAGGGGATTTCCGCACGGAAAAAAAAGGGATAGTGTTCAATACAACATTAGTTTATTCAGCGCGTGAAAGAAAAAACGAGTATTTCTGGATAAAGTTAACATTCTGCTCTTTTCTATATTCCCGACAAAGTTTGTACAATTTTTTTTGATAAGTTAAATAGTTCTTTAGTGAAAACGCAAGAAGAAAGAAAACTCATATTCATATCAATATTACACAGTACGCTGTAGACGGTATTTTAACCAGTTATATTCTGGTAGGTACTCTTAAAGTATGATATGCAGCTATGACCCACTTCGTCACATTCCGGGACCAGGGGACAGGAGACCATGTATAATCCGGTGATTTCCAACGAAAACGCAAATATAATAGCTAATTGACAAATCTAGGGTCTGTAGCTTGAACGTTTTCTGTTGTATAAATTTTTTTATACCTATTTATTTCTTGAATGAGTTTTTAGCTGTTATGGGCCACAGTATATGTAAAACTGATATTTTTACGAAATATATGTGGTGTATTTTTAGTCACGTTTATATTATAATTAAGACTAGTTAGA